AGTGGTATTTTACTGATTTTGGAGATGACTGTAAAATAAACAAATCAAATCGGACAAAGTTTACAATGAGGTTAGACTCAGAAAATATGGATGAATCAAACTGTCAAAAGAAAAGTAATGAAAAGACATAAAAGAAATTGTTTTTTTTTCTCTTCTCCTTCGTTCGTTTTTCGTGATTTTAACTTTTGCCATAAAAGCAGACATATTCAATAAAATAAGAGGAAACATGAACTGAAAGAAAGAGTAGATTCATGACAAGCAGAAACTCGAGAAAGATAAATAGTTAGAAGGAAAGAGAAGAGTTAAAAAAAAAAAATCTGACCGGTTATCTTTCCTCTCTCTTCTGTTCAGTTAACCGGTCACCATTTTTGTCTCCTTTCCCGCTTCTATTTTTTGTCTATTTTCGTGTGGTTTTTAGTGACTGTACACTTTCTTTCTTTTCATGTTTATCTCTCATTTTATTGAATATGTCTGTTTTATGGCAATAATTAAAGTTTGTACTTCTAGATAATTTTTCAAATAATTTTAATTTATTGTCTCATTTTATTTTATTTTTTCTTTCTATATTTTCTTTAATTCTTTATTTCTGATCAATATTTCTTTTGAAAACTTTTTTCATTCTTGAAATTCTTCTTTCTGTTGTTATTTCATTCTTTCCTTTGTTCGCCTCTTTCTTTTTCTGAAATTGATTAATTCTTTATATTTCTCTTTTTTTTCCTAACAAACAGATCGATTAATGTAAATATCGATGACTCCATTGTCCTTTGTTTAGCATTTTTCTATTTCCAGGCAATCTGGATTGAAATAAACAGACGCATTTAAAAGTTAAGAATTCTTTCGTCCCTAAACTATTTACCGAATCATATTTTCTTCATTGAAAATGCAAAAACGAGTTAAACAAACCTAAAATACTGCCGCAAATAAATCCACACGTTATTCGTTAAACTAGCTAAATGCGTTATAATTCATTTCTATAACGATCAGTTCTTACTCTGTTTTCTATTGTAGTACAATTTTGTCCGATTTACAGTCAATATTCGATATCGACACCTTAAGTATTATTTCGTTTTACTTAAAATGAGTCCGGACGCTCTCAGAAGTTTGCAATGAAAACTATTTTTTTTAACCAATCAGTTCTTTGCGATGTCGAGCTTAACCTGGAATCCTCTCTCTAATTATAAAATATTCAAAACCTTTCCATTGACTCATAATCATCTGGGAGACCGATCTCTGCCTTTCATCAACATGGCCGATGCTATCCTCCAGGAAATGACCCGTTGCGCCTTCTCTGGGTAACGTTCTCAGCTGACATGAAATGGAAAGACTATATTAAATCCATTGTTAGGTCAGGGAAATCCAGGAGAGTGCCTCGTTGTGCCTTCTCAGGCTAACGTTCTTGGCTGACATGAAATGGAAAGACTATATTGAATCCATTGTTAGGTCAGGGAAATCCAGGAGAGTGCCTCGTTGTGCCTTCTCAGGCTAACGTTCTTGGCTAACATGAAATGGAAAGACTATATTGAATCCATTGTTAGGTCAGGGAAATCCAGGAGAGTGCCTCGTTGTGCCTTCTCAGGCTAACGTTCTTGGCTGACATGAAATGGAAAGACTATATTAAATCCATTGTTAGGTCAGGGAAATCCAGAAGAGTGCCTCGTTGAGCCTTCTCATGATAACGTTCTCGGCTGATATGAAGTGGAATGACTATATTGAATCCATTGTTAAGTCAGCTACTAAGAAAAGACGTTCACTGTGTGAATTGTTGTGCGAAACAATTTTCTCCTCAGAATCCCTCTTACATATCAATCGTCCATGATTAGAATATTGTTGCCCCGTATGGTCCGTTTCCTCTGCTATTTACCTGGAGCACCTTGATAAGATCCAAAGAAGAACCAGCAATATTATTGGTCCTGATCTGGATGCTCGCTTCAGTCACTTGCCTACCACCATAAGTTTGCCTCTTGATGCCGTTTTTTATAAATACTTTCATGGTAATTGTTCGGATGAGCTCTTCGCCATGGTAAAAAAACTCGGCCTATGTTTCGTTCTGCGTGTAAAAATGTTCTCCCTCCCCATCAAATTAATTCAATTATTTATAAATACGTTTGTAGTAGCAGAGCTGACTACATAGGGAGAACAACTCAACGCTTAGACATGAGAATAAAACAACACGTTCCTACAAAAATTAGAAATCACCCCTTACCTTTGAATGGACTCGTCCCGAACACCTACAGTTCCGCCATATGCGAACACCTATTAAATAGCAGAGTGTGTGAAGCCAAATTTAGTGCCGACTGGTTCACCGTGTTGTCTCGGTCACACTCTTTATTTCATCTTAAGGTTCTGGAGGCACTTTACATCGGGTCCCATAAGCCTTTGTGTAAACAACGTGAGTGTTTTTTTGGGCTCACTGTCATGTGTCTCTAGTTCCTTTTGCGAATTTTATTTCCTCCACAACTTCCTTTTTATTGTACATTTCCTGTTGTTTTAATTTAAATTAAATCTTCCGTTGAAGCCAGAAAAGCGGGAGCGAAACCGGTTGCTTCGTCCGTTTTTTAACATATCTAGTAATATTAAGTTTTACCCTTTTATTTCTGTCATTAAATTTTGTACCTACAAAAATATCTTTTATATATATATATATATATATATATATATATATATATATATATATGTGTGTGTGTGTGTGTGTGTATGTATGTATGTGTGTGTGCGTGTATGTATGTATATATATGTATTTAGGGAGCAATCCTTATTTCATGCACATTTCATTGAATACGACAGACAAGGTGCTTTGATTTAGTTTTTTATACAATTACTCATGTCATTTAATAATTTTTTTCTTTTTAGATGATAAATTATATAAAAATGTCCGAATGTCCTTTTATACAAGCGCTTTCGGCCATACATTTAGCCATTTTCAAGGTTGAAATATATTAACTGTTAACAGGAAATTGTTGCATTTATGTATGTATATTTAGATGTGATGCAGCGAAACAGTCTGTCTGTGGATGATATATATATATATATATATATATATATATATATATATATATATATATATATATATGAAGATATTTTTAATATTTTAATAAAAATATCAATAAAATATTATGCTCTACGTTTGTATTGAGCACTTTTTAAAAAGTAAATGACTTAGAACCGTGGATTCTAAATCTGTTCTTTCTCTTTATTTGGATATGTAGTGGTTAATATCAGATATAGTAGTAGTAGTCAGCACCCGCTCGTATCTGGCCACTGGGATCGTCATCCTCTCTCATTATTCCCTTTCACCCCGTTGGCGGAGATTGCTGTGAAGGCCCAGCCTACTCCTGAAGAGCCGTGAGCATGAGTCACAAAGACCCGCTCTGAAAGTTCTGCATGTGCCATGTGTCCTCAAAGACACATAGCACAGTGGATAAAGGCGTTAGTTAGATCCAGTGACAGGACCCAAAGAGTGTGAGTTCAATACCCGGTTAGGGCAGTGGAGAACTTTCAGAGGGAAATTAACAGGAGATAACTGATAACTGACATCCATTAAACATGGCACGTGCAACTAGAACAGTCTACCACAGTGAATGAAATAAAGGGTTCAGTTCAACATTCCAACCACCTGAAGAAGGCCGGAGCATACAACGGCCGAAACGTTGTAATAACTATGGCGACAAAGATGAGGACAATAGTCCAAATAATGTAAATAATTTGTAACACATTATGAGTGTTAAAATCTCTCTCTATAAAAATAATCCACTGAAATATCTGTTCAAATATGGAAAAGAATGAAGATTTTCAATAATATATGCATATTAGTTGGAATACACTTTTAGTCTGGAAATCTTGGACGGGGGAGATGACATTCTAACAAATGGTGAAAAATGGTTGAGAAACAATAAACACAGCTTACTGATCATTCGTTAAAATAGAAGTCTCTCTCGTCGCTCCTCTATTGTGGCCTTGTATCAGACTTAGTAAGTAAAATGCGGCAAGAGTGTTAGTTATAAAAGGTGTCACTTCTAAGTGTAGGCTAGTGTGATGCGAGGCTACTATCATGTCCTGAACTCATTTAGCATTAAATTCACTGCACTATTGAATTCAACTTGTTAACCATTACACTATAGTGTCAGTAGTACTATAGATGCTGCTACTTCTGCTAAAGTCAACTAAGGTAAATTCTAATCGTGTCATATTTCGAGAGACGAATCCAAAGTTCTTATTTCTCGACAATCAACTGTGACACTTACACGACATTGCTTTCGATTTGAACTGAAAGCCAACCGACTAAATGTCGTTTTGAATGCAAGATTCGCCATGTTTTCTTTCTTAGCGTTCATCTCTTGCCGAAGCCGTTTCCTTTCTTTTTTCCTTTCGTTCAACAAAGCTATTCTAAGTGATATTACATCGTCGTTATTTTGTCAGAAATAAAAAGTAAAAATAGAGTACGTAAATAGCAAGTAAGGCCAGGAATTTTCCAGCACTATATTGGATATGAGTGCTTCGCTACGGTACCCAGAATTCTTTAATTTAAGCGCAGTATTAGACTGATGTCGGGATCTGATTAATTTACAGATGCGCTGGCTAGACGTAACCGTAAGTTCTATGCTAACAGTTTCTTTTCCCGCGCTTCTCGATTGTGGAGTTCACTTCCGTCTCCATGCTTTCCAGCCAACTTTGATCCGCAAAAATTTAAATGCAATATCAATCGCAATCTACTGTCCTCCTGATAACTCTTTTCTCTTCCCGCTCATTATTAATGTTTCTTTTCGTAATTCTTCTATTCCCTGTAACCCTTTGTGTCTTAGTGGCTTTACTGCCTTGCATGGGGTGATACTGATTAAAAAAAAAAACATAATAATAAAGACTTTATAAGATTTACATTTTCCTCATTTTGGATTGGTCATGTGATTGGATTGGTCACGTGACATCACTAGCTTTTATAACTCCACTTCTATTAACGTTTTCTTTCTTTCTCAGTCTACATTCTTTTGTTTTTTGACCAGGGCTTACGGCCATATCACGTTGAAACACCAGCTCCGGTAGGACTACCGAAGTTAAGCAACGCCGAGTCTGGTCAGTACGTAGATGGGAGACCTCTTGGGAATACGAGGGGCTGTAAGCTTGGATGTGCGGGTGGTGTGATAGATCACGGCTGGAAATTATTTATCGGAGAGCCAACTCTACTCCGGTTCGTCATATTTACTTACGCACAAATACAATCTGGAAAGGAATGAATCAACCTATTCTCCCCAATTATGGGTTAATTAGTTGGACTTGTATCCCTAAATCAGTATTATCTCTAAAAACTTAATAAAACCTGTGGTTTAAAAGCTTATCACTGTGTATAGAAAAGAAACTTCTTCCAGGATCTCTCACTTCCTTCTTTCCTCTCAAATCCCCTTCCCTCTCTCTCTCTCTCTCTCTCTCTCTCTCTCTCTCTCGCACTCTTTTCTCTCAAATCTCATTCCTCTCTCTCGCAATCTTTCCTCTCAAATCTTCTTCCTTTCTCTCGCAATCTTTCCTCTCAAATCTTCCTCTCTCTCACAATCTTTCTCGTCGTCTTTCTTCCTTCCCATAATTCATCTTTTTTCCCCCGGTTTGCCCTAATAGTCTTGTCGCCGCCGCTGCTTCCTTTCCCCAACATTTCATTTTCTTTCATTCAAACGACATAATCTAAACATATTTTCTCTCTTTAAGTAGTCTGCAAAAAGGTTGATAAGTCGTAAAAAATCATCTTTAGCCTCCTTTTACCGTAAATCTTAGAACGTCGACTTATATAATATTTATTAACCTTTATCCGAATGTTCGGTTAGTGTAAATGTCATCTAATCGGCGAGTCGGGTTCAAATTCCGGTTTCATCATTTGCATTCACTTTCGCAGTAATCCTCCCAAGAACTTGTAGAAGAGAAGATGATTTACTTCATGTGTCAAACCGAGAAAGTATATGCCAGGCGTGCAAAATTGGTGAAAAAGAGAAAAAAACGAAATATGGCCGCACAGCTTAATTCAGGAAAACACACAGTCTCGAGGCTAGGAGAATTGGCGAGACTGGTTGGGCTTATGCAAATTTTTCGCGAGATCAGCTCAGGATAAAAAAGGCGCAAGAGAAAAACCAGCAGATGCTCGTGAACGTGGTACTGCGTATACGAAGAGAATTTGTCAGCTGGGAAAGCGATTACTTGGGGCAGTTTCACACAGAATTCATGTCTCCTACCTTCATTTATGTGGTAAATAGCAGGGCAGACTGGATGTTTCTAGCCTTGGGTGACAAGCATCCTAAGAGAAAAAAAAAACTAAATGTCAAACTGTGGCATTCTACTATCTTTCCCAAGAAGACATGGCAATTCATAGATATCAAAAATAAGCAATCGTGGCCAGCCATGATCATCTACGTCCTGATGGGTCATGGCATGAAAATAAAACATTATCTTCTCCGGTACAGACATTTCCTTTCTGTGATACATTAAGATGAATACAACATAATTCATATATTGTAACTCGTAATCTATCAATATAATAATTCTGTGATTGCGTGCGTGCTTGTGTGGTGCGTCTGTCAAACGCATAATGATTTATGAGTTGTTTATACAGTATTTTAACTTTCTTCAAACAATTAAAGTCAAAGACAGGCACAAAGAGATCCCGCTTTGCTGTTTCGCCCAGTTTTTTTTTAGTAATTATTTATATTTCAGCTTTCTTTAAACAAACAATATTTTAAGTATTTAAAAAATATTTTTAAGTTAATCTGAAGTTAATCTGATTTTTTTAAATGTTTTAAGTGAATACGATTTAAAAATACAAGTATTTTTATTTTAACTTTCTTCAAACAGATAATTTTTTAATTAAAATATTTTTAAATTAAAGACAGACACAAAGAGATTCCGCTTTGCTGTTTCCACCATTTTTTTTAAGATTAATTATCTATATTTCAGCTTTCTTTAAATAAACAATATTTTAAATATTTAAAAATATTTTGGTGTATATTTAAAAAAAAATTTTCATTCAATATGAGTTTTAAATATTTTTGGCATATTAAAATATTTTTTAAGTTAATCGGATTTAAAGTTCAAGTTTATCCCGAAAATTCGATTTCTATTAAATGCTGTAAACAATTGGTAAAACTTTAAGCATGAACTTGTAAACCAATGATGACACGAACGAACTGGAATATTTAACTGAACCATAACAAAATTAACTTTCATTTCAACGGAACGTTGAAATCAACTTCAATAACCTGAACTGTCAGTGACCCCATCGGGTCACGGGTAGTCTAATATATTATAAAACATTGAAGATTTTAGCTGAAGTACTTTTCATTATTTCAGAAATTATTAATTTTCCGACTAAATTTTATCCAGTACAAAACTTGAGAGTCACTCAAGGTCGAATGTTACAGTAAAGTATATTTTAATGTTCAATGAGTTGCGTGACACAAATGGAAACATTCTAAGAAATGAAGATTATGATAATATGGAGGAAAGATGATGATTGACCCTTGACCTGGAGAGGTGAAGATTGAAGTGTTCAAGGTAGCACTTATGTAAGAGTCAGTTCCAAAAGTGGCAGTTATTGGGCGGGGAGTAGGGACAGTTTTAGCGCAATTTTTACATATGGAACACGGAGGAAATGAGAATGATTCGACTCCGTGCAAGTGGCAAGGCAAGTCCTAGATGTCTGAACTATTGGGAGTACTGAATGGAGCTCATCTGAATACTCAACTTCGAAATAGCGAATAGAATAGCGATAAGTTCGAAAGATTACGTCTGTGGAGTGAGGTTGCAGAATTAAAAATAAGTCTTCCTCAACAAAACCCCGTAGGAGATTTTGATTTCTATCACGGTTGTAAAGTAAGAATATAGCAACTCCAGTCCTTTCCATGGCTACAATACTCCATTTTCGGTCTGATCTAATTCTTGTAAAGATAAGGCATAACTGAAGGAATCAAATACTTTCTGGAAAGATAAAATAGACCGATATCTATAGCCATGCTCTAGAATAACTCGACAGTTTTACACTCTCACCTGGATATCATGCAATATATTGGCGCTACATAATCGCAAAGAGTTTTACCAAATAATAGAAAACATATCACCAACAGCAACAACTAAAATGAGTAGCAGATGTGACTAAAAGAAAAAAAATAAGTATGTAATGTTGACTTTCCACACTGCGTTAAACTAAAAGTTAGGAAAAACTTGTACACTAAAGGTACCTATTTTCATGAATATGTTTTTAGTAGTAAGATTTTATAAATGTCAACCGACAGTAGAAACGCAAGGAAAATACTAATATTACCATTACTATTAAAGATTAGTATTAGAGGTTAGTATAGCAGATATAAGTATCTGTTATACGTATTATAAGTTATATAAGTATCTGTATTTACTTGCCGCCCCAGGCTGGCTGGATGTAACACAAGGTCAGTTTAATGTGGAGAACCCGAGTGCGTGAACCCGATTCAGTTTCCCAAAATCCCCACCACACGACAAACGTCTACTGCGCTGGAATCGATATGACTACCAGTCCCCCCTCTTTAATGCAATGAAGGAAGTAGAGCTCTGGGCAGCTCTTCCCTGAGACCGGGTACGCACCCCCCGCCCTAATAATATTTTCAGTTGTGCTCTGCCCGATGATAAAGACACAGCCGATTCATTCTTCAGCCCGTGTCGTGTATATTCTGTGAGAAAAAGGAAAAGGTTTAATTCTTCTGACTAAAGGGGAAAGAGATCAAATTAATTTATTTTAAAATAGTCAGGTACAGAGAGTTTCTAGGCAAGAGTTTTCTTCGCCATTTTTTTTCATTCTGAAATGAGTTTATTTTTATCCAAAGGAATATAATTGAGAAAGACTGAAAAACAAATCAATCGAAACAACTGCAAAAGATTACGTAGGAAATATTGAGAATTTGTTATGTGGGTTAATCCAAATATTTTTATCCTAATGTTTATCGATTTGGAGACTGAAGAGCTACTCATTATAGAGGGTTACCGAATGTAAGAAGAGGAAATAAGAAGTGAAGATTATGAGGATAAGGAGGATAGATAACGATTGACCCTTGAGTTGAATAGGTTAGGGTTGTAGTATTCAGGAAATTAATCCACACAAGAGATGGTTCCACAAATTAGTTCTTAGGGAAAAAAAAACTGATTGTAACGTTCTTACAAAAGGAATACGCATGTAATATAGCCGCTTCAACTCCGTGGATCTAGTAAAGTGAGTTCTAAAGGTCGGAACTGATAGAATTAAGAGTGGAGACCATGGACAATCGTAATAGTGGAGACTTATTTGTAAATTTTATCTGATTAAAGTCTAAAATAATTTCATATAAACACAAACTTTTTATTACATTTTAAAGCAAATTCGATGCAAAGTGAATTACGATCGCTTATAAGCATAATATGAAAGCGTTTTCAATGATAATAAAAAGACGTGGAAAAACGTGGGGAGGCCTATCTAAATTTAATGTGTTTATTCCGAAGTCTCAAGCAGAGATTTCCTTTCCACGTCAGTTCAGTTAAGAAGCGATCGGAAATACGTAACATATAAATAATTCTAAAACAATAACGAGCATCTCTCAATACAAAGTGAGTCTCTGTCATCGAAGTAAGAAAATAAATTTAGTGAATGACATAGAAAGGAGTACACGGATCTGGAAATAATCCGTCAATGCACACCAAAACCCAAACTTCTTGATTATATAATGTGAATATATGAAAGAAAAGTAACCACGAAAAACATATTTTAATCATTATTCGATTAACACTAAAAATATCTTGGCTGATGTAAATTAATAGAGAAAATAACAATTCTGTGTTTATTTAATTTACCATTCGTCATGTGATAATTGGTGATGTGCTTGTTGTACGCCATCGTGTATTTTGCTTAATGTTTTTGTAAAACTATATACACTGGCGGGCAAAAGTTTTGGGAAAACTATGCAAAGTGATTACACGCCCTTATTTTAAGTTAAGATTGTTTAGCTGTATGCTTTTATCTTTGGTGTCTGTAGACCTTGAGAATTGGAAAATAAGTTACTGCATTTTCGTAGGCGCTGTCTAACAGAAGATAGAAAATATGCAAATTTCTAATTAGGAATTATTCCATCTTAATAATATGAGT